GAACTTTCAATCATCCTGCCTCAGCCTCCTGAGCTGCTGGTATTATAGGCATATGCCACTGTGCCCAGTTCTATCGTCGTTTTTAATGAGGACACAATATACTTGGGCCATAATTTAACCAATCTCTAATTTGGTTAAATTATGGCCCACACACAGGTAACTGCAGTTGAGTGTTCTGTACACATACTAATCTTTGTACGCTGTAAGCAGTTCAGTAGCATGTGACCCTAGAAACAATTATTGGGTCAAAAGATATTTTAAAGTTTAAAAGACCCTCTAAGTACCCTCTGTGGCCGATGGTCAGCACACTCCTGAGGGCCGCAAGGCGCTGGAGCAGCGGCTTCTGCCCCAGCAGAGCCCTCAGTCAGTTCTCCTCAGTGTGTTGCTCGGCAGACGGGCAGCAACCCACTTGGCGAGGAGCCACCATGACCATGCCTTATCTGTCAGCTGAAGCCAAGCTCTGTGCAGATGCATGCCTCCACGTTCACCTCGCCAAGCGGCCAGCCATTCTCAACCGAGGCAAAGCGAGGGCCGCTGGTCCTCATCTCACGCCTACTTAAGACAGCGTTCCAGACCCAAGCACTGCGTCTCGGGGCAGAAGGCCGAGGCCCAGGTGGCAGGGTGGCTGCCTGCTCTACCCTCCCTCTCCACACACACCCCCCTCCCCCGCAGAGGGTGAAGAGGTGAGTGACACCTGGCCCTCCAGACTTCTGCAGCAGAGGCATTGCAGGCTCCCACTGAAAGGTCTCGTTGCAGGGCTGCAGGGCACACACGGAGTAGGCCAATGGCAACAGTCTGCCTCCACCACACCCCTCCTCTGTGCCAAGCCCTGTGCTAGTGACCCACGTTACCCAGGGATTCCTCACTGCTGTCTGGTCACCACCCCTACAGCCCAGTCCTACTCCTACGGGAAGTAGAGGGAGGACACTCTTCCAGGTTTGGTCAGGCTGCCAGACAGTCCTGCTGGAAAGGACAGGTGGGGCTGACTGCTGAGGCCCCACCTGTCCTGCCAACCAACAGCCCTAAGCAACTCCGGGAGGTGGCTGTCCCAGCTTCCCCAGGCACTTCCAGCAACAGCCCAGACAACTGGCTAGCAGGCTGCGTCTGGTCACGTTCACCATCTGGCTCCCCACAGCGGCACGACAAGGCCCCGGAGACAGACAGGGCAGAAGAACCAGGCTGCTTTCTTCATTCCCCAAAGGCAAGGCCCAGAGGAGGCTTCCCTCCTAGCACGAGTCCTCTCCTCTGGACGCCCTCCTCAGTAGCCAGAGCGCCAGGGAACCCACAGTGAAAGGGCTCACCCGGGTCCTGTGCCCAGGCCCCAGAGCCACATGGAGGCCGTTTCAGACTTCAGCACCATGTTCGTGGCCCCTGAGGCACCAAGGGTGCCATGCTGGCAGCAGTGAGCCTCCAGGGTGCTGCCATGCCCACCCTGGGCAAGGAGGAGTCCGCCTCGCTCCGGACAGCCTGGCCGTGTGGAGTACCAGCAGCTGTTGCCTTCCCCACCTGGAGCTCAGCACACTGGCTTCTCCAGGAACTGGCTCTGAGTCACTGTAGACGCTGCTCTGGGGTGAAGAGTCCTCACCAAATAATGCACAGGGGCACACTGGTCACTGGGAACAAGCCGGCCACAGAAACTCTCCTGTGCCGGCTCCAGAAGTCAGAGAAATGCAGGGGAGCCAGAGCACACCTGGCAATAGTAGGGGAGGGGCCGCCCCACCCGCCCGCCCACAGCCCTGTGCTCACCTCTTTGGGTCGGGCTGCTCCTGCTTGTTTGCCCATCCCGTGCCGTCCTTGGGCACTATCACAATGCTGGGGTCGTTTCCTTTGTTTTCAGACTTCAGGCTTGGCAGGTTTGCAGGCGGCGGCATGCGCCGGGCTGTGGCCACTTTCCCGAGACTCTGTAAGCCATGTCTAGGAATAACTGCAGGGGGAGATAAAGGAGCAGATAGGGGTCACAGAGGAAAGGGGCCAGCTCACTCACCACTCTCCCACCTCTAAGGGACAAGGACAGGCACCCGGAGGCCACTGCAGCCACTCACAAGCTCTGTGCCAGGACTTCAGGGACAAAGGCTGCTCAAGTCTGCACAGAGGTCTCCCTTCCACTAGGAGCTCAGAACACCGGTGAGGAGCACCCCCCCCCCCAGAAGCCCTGCCCCACACAGCAGCCACCCCCTGCAAAGGGGATGGCTCTGACCTCATTTTGACAAGACCCACATGATGCCTGGGCTGGAGCCACGCGACACTCATGGAGGCCTTGTGAGTGTGGATGGGATCAACACTTTCCCACCTACTCCAGGAAACCAAAGCCATGAAACCCAGAAAGGTAAACTGAGTCCCATTCTAAAACACTCATGGCTTCCCCAGACAACAGTCCCACCACAAGAGAGTCAGGGTCTCCAAGGCTCTGGAGTCAGACCTCAAGCAGGAGGTGAAGGAGGGCTGTGCCCCACTGCCCAGACACCTCATCTGGCCAGGTCTCAGGTGCACCAGAAGGGGTGCGGAACTGGCCTCCAGGCCGGGCCTCACCTGAGGACCTGGTGGCGTCTACTGGTCTTCCTTTATACTTGTCAAACAGGCTGAGAGTCGAGTACTTGCTTTTCCCATCCTTGCCCTTGGTTATTTGCCCCAGACGATCGGACATTGCGATGAAATGTCATCTAGTAAAGATATTTTTCTCGGCGCCGCTCCCGATCTGCCTTTGGAAAGGAGGTGAGAGTGAGTCGCCAGGACTTGACCCAAAGGTCTGATTTTACCTTCTGAAGATCTGAGGACAGCTTTGGGCTCTGTCCCTAGGAAAACACCTTTACCTCTTACAGACACTTGCCCCAGGTGGCCCATGGGCCCCCACCCTGCCCAGTCAGCTGCTCTGTGTGCACTTGCTGGAGCCTACTTCCATGACTGTGTGGAAATGCACACTTGAACACACTCGGTCCTCTGAGCAAGTACAGCTCTCCCAGATGGAAAAGTACACCCTCAGGCCTGGTGGTATGTCCACCTAACATCACAAGCAAGACAGGCAGATCAAACCAGGGAGGCGCACAGCCCAACTATGCCACGGCAGTGCGTCCCAAGGATGAGGAAACCAAAGGAAGGCCACCAAAGTCGGTCAGTTGTCAGGAACATTTGGGAACCTGCTCTTTTCAAACAAAGAACCAGCACTCAGGCAGAAGGCATCTGCCCGGGCCACAGAAGCAAGTTCACAGGGCAATGTGTGGAAAACAGGGTGAGCACCACCCAGTACTGACGAGGGAGACCCCTGTCCCCCAACCTCTCCACCAGCACCTTCAGGTCTGTTGGCCCTTCCCCCCTGCACTCACCTACACACTCTATCCTTCCAAATGCTAAGGCCAGCTATTGCAGCGGGCAGACCGGCACCAGGCCAAGACTGAGGACGCAGCTACCTTTTCCTCTACACCCACCCTTGACTGGAGGTGCCAAAATTGATCAGAGGGGGAAAATCCCCATGTAAAGAATGTGACCTTCTACCCTGTCATTAAGATATGGAGAAGAAATCGACAGTGTTCATGGAGGCACCTGACCATGTGTCCTTACCAACAGGAGCAATGTGCAGAACACCCACTGACAGCGCAGGCACCAGGTGGCCACCTCTTGGAATGCACCCCTCAACATTCTGTCCTAAAGCCACGTGGGCTAGGAGAGGTGCATCGTGTTTGGGCAGTGCTTTGCACCCCAAAGTATGATGCTTGAGAGAAAAGTCCACACACAACTGCAGACACAGCACCAGGAGCAAAGATCAGTCACAAGCTGGGCCCAGAGAAGGCGAGACAGAGAGGCCAGTGCCTCCCACCTCTGCAGAATCTGCCCTGCACACACCGGGTGTGCACACCCTCTTTTTCACTCAGCCAGTACTGACGATGTCTAGGCCCTGCCAGGCACCAAGGGACAGATAACAAGCAGTTCATCCCAGGATGCTCAGGGACAGGCAGTGGCCTCTAGTCACAGCGCGCATCAAGGCTGCACCCCTCCTTCAGGGACAGCAGGCCCTCCTCCCCTCATGGTTTTGGTCAGCCTTCCCATACTCAGATCCAGGCCACTCAGGGTGACCGAGGGGAGAGGCCGAGGGTCAGGGAATGACAGGTGTTTCCAAGTGTGTGGGAGCACAGTGGAGGGGATTCTGCTCGCACTTGTGTCCAAACCTAGAGGTGCCAAAGGTGCTACGGCATGGTCAGGGGACAAGCACTCCCCATACCAAAGCTGCAGGCAGTGGGTAGGGACCAGCCAGCTGCAGGAGGGGAATGGCCAGAAGCGGGGGTAGGGTAGAGGTGCACACACCCCTACCTTTAACTCTCCCTTCCCACTGCCGGCTGAGTCTCTAATCCATCCTGCACAAGTCCTAACCACCAGCTAAGCATGCGGCCACACCTGTGACCCCAGCCACTTGGGAGACTGAGGCAAGTGCAAGGCCAGCCTGGGCAACATAATCGGACCTTGTCCCAAAATAGAAATAAAAAGAGTACCATGAGCGAGGCCCTTGGCTCATTCCCCAGCACTGCAATCAATCAATCAATCAAAACACTAACCTCCCCCAGGCTGGACCACAGCCCTGGAGGAGAGGCTGGGTCTGCACTGGTGAGAGAGCCCAGCGCTCTACAGGCTCTTGGTGCAGATCACCTTGCATTTCTCCACTACAGCGGGATGAGGTCCACAGGGAAATGCAAATCAAAACCCAGAGACCACCTCACCCTTGAAATAAGGGGTATTATCAAAAAGACAGAAAATAAGCGGGGTGCAGGTACAGACTCAATCCAGTCCCCATGACCACCACCACGAAAGGAAAACAACAAGTAACCAATGCCAGCGAGGGTAGAACAGGGGCGACTCGCCAGGACGCTGGCCAGGCCCTACTCCATGGATGGGACAGGGACACACCAGGACTAACACTGACTCGCTCCAAAACTCGCAAGAGGCCAAAGAGATCTGTAAGGAGTGTTACAGTTCCCCCACGCAGAGGCTGATGTCCTCGCTCCCACAAGCTGGGACTGTTACTTTCATATGGCAAAAGGCTTTGCAGGTGTGGCTCAGGTCTTGGGTGGGAGATCACCCTGGATCAGTGGAGGGGGCCCAGTGGAGTCACAGGGGTCCCTGTGAGCAGAAGTAGGTCAGGGTAGCACACTGGGAACAGAGGCTGGAGCAATGCTCTCTGAAGTCACAGGAGGGACCTCAAGGCAAAGAGCGCAGGCCTCTGGAGGCTGTGAAGAGCAGGAAGGGACTCTCCAAGCCTCTGGGAGCAGCAGCCTCCGGCACCTTGATTTCAGTCCCATAAGACTCATTTCAGATTTCTAAGCTTCGTGTTGTTCCAAGCCACTAAATTGTGGCAGTTTGTTGTAGCAATAGGAATGATACACTCCCTCACTGACACTACCGTGTGCCCTAAGGAAGCTGGGCCTGGGACACAACCCAGACCTGCATCCAGCCCAGAGACGCTGGGACTCTCCACAGGCTGGTCACAGGCAGGAGGTGTGTTCCAGAGTCTCACACTTCAGCACCAGGACAAGGGCTGATCCCCGCCCTGGCTGTCACCTGGGCACAGATCACAAATGCTCTGAAAAACCCCCAGCCAAGTCCCTGCCCTGACCCCACGCCCCCTCCCTGCCACACAGGGGGCAGGACTAGATCTGTCACTGTGAACTCAAATTCGGATGCTTCGAATGCTCTTCCAACCAGCCGCACCCCAGCCCTCCAGTCGCATCAACCTGCCTGACTTCTTTAACAGAATGTCACACGATTCTCAAAGCAGAGCAGAAAATACTTTTGTTTCTGTAAATATTTCTAAAAAGTCTTCTTAACGCTTGTTAATCCTGGTTTCTGTCAATCCACTGATGCCAACAGATCTTTCTTTGACTCTGCACTAACCAGGCCTGTAAACAGACGTTAGAGCGAACACAGAGCTCTCTGAGGACAACTCTGAGGACCACCCAGAGGACCACCCACTCCCGCCCCAGAGAACTCTCAGAGACCAGCAACCTGACCCTGCCCCACCCCAGCACCTCAGAAACATTAAAGCCCTGGGCAAAGATGAGCGCCCCCTAGGAATCTAGACTGTGTCTGAAAAAAGGAGGATCAGTTTGCAAGGCCATTTGAACTATGTCCCCAAGTAAGTTCAGCCACCAACACTAACCAGGTACCCATCTCCTTTCAGGTAAAGTGTTCTCCAGCCCACTGACCACAGAACTGCAGGACAATCGTGTGGAGAACTCATAGCCAACGCAGGCACCAAGCCCGCAGCACTGTTCTGAAGTGCCAACCCTTACCCAAGGCTTGTACCTGCTGGGCACCCTGTCAGCCTCTCCAGACCTGTTTCCTCACCCGATGAAGGACAGGCCTGGCCAGGAACTCCTTAAGCACCAGTCTGTCCTAGAACCAAGCACTGCATGTTAATGGCCCACAGCCACAAGTGCAAAGGACTTGTTGTCACATTAGCCACCTCTTCTGGCACATCTGAACCTGGACCCCATACTCCTATGTAGACTTGGGTGCTAACAAGCAGTCACCTGAGTCCCCACTGCCCCAGAAGGCACCAGGCCGCACGGGGCTATACAGGAGGCTCTTCACCCCCACCCACAGCCTGAAGAGGAACGTGACGGGAGCGCGCAGGGCCTCTGAGCCCAGCGCAGGTACACCTGCACCTAACAAAGCAGGTCACGGACACCTCCTGGTTCTCCCACTAACCAAAGTTTCAGTGGACACAACTCTGAAACAAAAAACACACTTGTTGGGAAAGATGGTGAATGAGATGGGCATCATTACCCTAGGTCCATGTGTGACGGCACGTATGATGCGACACTACATCGTGTACAACCATAGAAATGTAAAGTTGTACTGCAGTTGTGTGCAATGAATCAAAATGCATTCTGCTGTCATATATACCTAATTAAAATAAATAAATAAAGTTTTTTTTTAAAGAGAGAGAGAGAGATTTTTTTTTTTAATATTTATTTTCTAGTTTTCGGCGGACACAACATCTTTGTTTGTATGTGGTGCTGAGGATCGAACCTGGGCAGCACGCATGCCAGACGAGCACGCTACCGCTTGAGCCAGCCCCTAAATAAAGTTTTTAAAAAACAATTAAAAAAGCATACTTGTTGGGATTTCTCAAGTGCATGTCTCTGCTGGTGTGCTGACCTGGGGCTGGCCCAGCCCACACCTACCAGCATCTCTGCTGGTCAGCTGGTTTTCACAAGCACAGGCCAGGAGCATTAGCTGTGAGCAGGCCTTCAACCAGCTTCCAGGGCGCTGCTGAGTCTATCCATGGGTCAACAGGCACACCTCAAGCTTGACCAGCACAGCCAAAGGCAGGAAGAAAACACGACAAACGCTCACATCCAGGACCCACAGAGGCCTCTGGGCAGATCCCAGCCCATTCAGCAGAGCCTGACTCACTCCAGGGTCCATGGAACAAGAACAGGCCAAGGCCTGTTGAGAGTGTAGGCCAAAACTGGCTCATAGCCATGGCTTTCCTGCCACCTCTGTCCCTCTGAAGGTGATGGAAGTCTTTTTATTACCAAACAAAATCTATTCTGGAACCTCAGTCTCACACAGAAAACCGGAAGAAAAGGCTGAGAATGTAGCTCAGTGGCAGAGCAGTGGGCCTAGCATGTGTGGGGCCCCGGGTTCCATACCCAGTACCGTAAAAAAAAAAGAAGCACCCTGCCTGGGAGGGGTCCTGCCAGTGTCT